GTTTTCTTCAAAAAATTTTAGTAAATTTAGAGTAATTAAAAAGTTACAATCTTCATTTTTATGACAAATTAAAATTATAATTTCATTTATTCTTATCATTGATTATCTTAGTGAGGCAAACCTTGCTGACTGGAAATTTTTATCTGGGACATAATTAAAATACAACGTTCTCGGTGAATATTGACCTCCACCTTGAGAGGAGAACCATATATGTGCTCGTTTAAATACCTATAAAAACAAGTAAAATAATTTACTCAGAATTCAATTTAACTTTTAGAAATACAAAATAAATTCTAGGGAGAAAGAGTTGGAAAAAGAATTTGAGAAAATTTTGAGAGAAAAAGTAAACAAAAATTTAAGAATTGTTTATAAATTTTCAATTGTCAACTTTTCAATTTTTGTTCAAAATTTATAACAGATAGTCACAAATGAACTATTAAAATAGTCCTTTAGAAACAAAATATTATCAAATGAAAGCGGTATATCTAAAATTAGTAAATAAACACGTTATCTATTATGTTCGTGTAAATTAAATTAAACGTAACCCATACGTGAGCTTATGATACAGACCATTAAATTCTTGCACTACTAATTAGAAAATATAATTCTGTCTATGATTAATATTACCAAAATAATCCTCAATTCTAAACGATAGGCCTCGATTAAATAAGCATTACCTGTGCACCACTTTTCAAGAAATTCGATGCATGAAATAAAATAGCATTGATAATTTTCTTTTTTGCAAATAACACTTCAATTGTAATAGTTCCACCTACAATGAAATTTTATTTCATTTAGAAAAAAAAAAGATATATCCAACAATTCTATAAGAAATAAGTGGATAAATAAAGCATGTAATGCTAATTTGAGGAAAAAATTATTTTGAGGATTTTTTTTTTCATTTTTACAAAACTATTTCATGATATTGAAATAAATGTTGAAAAAAATTCAGTGAAATAATAATTTAATGAATGTTAAGACATCAAAAAAATTTGAATTAATTGTTTTAATTTAAAAATAAATCTATGATATTTTACGACAAAAAAGAAAACCAATCTTACAAGTAAATAAATGATAACCAGAAAAAATCAAAAAACAGAGTATGATTGGAATATAAACGTATACCGTGTTTTTCTTTACTCCAACCAATCCATTTTTCAGGATATTTCTCGAAATTATCCAAACCAACTGCGCCATCATATAATTTGCCAAGACCTTTGATTAAATATCCGGATGAATTTGTAATTCCATCATATGATACATCTTTTAAATTTAAACCATCTACTACATCACCTTCCGGTATTGTATAAGATAGAAGTTGATCTGAAATATTAAGTCTTCGTGATTATCTGATGAACTGATTGATTAATTTTAGATAATTTAATAAAAGTTGAAAAACTCAATGAGTACCAGAACCGGTATAAGTCTTAATTTTAAAATTTTACGAGAATTAGTAATTCTTAATTTTAGTTAGTTTTATTCTAACTCTCTAAAATTTATGACAGAATAATATCATCGTAACCTTTGTAAGAACATCCATAAAGTTCAACACGCATACAAACGGTACGTGTTATTTCGGAAACAGGTATGACACGTAAATTTCGTGCTACAACACCACCATCCAGTGCTCGAAATATTGCCGATTGCGTATCACTATTTCCAACCATCACCTACAAAATTCCTTTCTTTTTTTTTTCAATCATTAGTTTTACTATGATGCAAATAACACGTTTACACGTAAGCAATCAAATATCACCAGTGATTTAAATTCAAATAATCTGTAAAAATTTATGTTATTTTATAACTATTCTGTTCAATATACGTCAAACAATCGATCAGTGAATTATAAATTTATATACTCTTGAAAGATCCAAACAAACTCATTACAAACTCATTTCTTTAATTGTACTTTTAGTCTTATCAAAAAAAAAAACTGATATAAATGAAAAATTTTTTTAATTAAAAAAAAAATCTTCAGAATTTGGAATTAATGATTTTGTTTGAATTTAAACCATTAGTGGTATTTTCTAGATTATATATCAAATTTTAAAATTATTAATTTGATTAAAGAAATGAAACAACAACTGAACCTCATTTTGCTTCCCATCTTTGTATCGTGCCCAAGTTCCAAGACTTTCACGCCAATACTCCAACATATACGCTGGTGCATATTCCAATCCACGTCCGCCATCAAAGCGTCCTTGTGTTTCAATAGCTGTTATCACCATATCCATATCAAAATCAATTTGCAACCATTCTACTACTTCAGGGCTAATTTGTTGACGTGGACACCACGCACCACTTCCACGTTCTGTTCGTAGTCTTCAAAAAAAAGAAAAGCATTGTAATACTACTACTACTTTTCTGTAGAATATTTTTACTTACATTATTGGATCACACATAAGTTAGTGAAACGTGAATTTTGATTGACATTTCATTTCATTTCATTTAAAGGTCAGTGATATTTTGACCATCAAAATATTCTGTTAAATTTTATTGTATCATAATCGATTAATTAATATATGATAGTATCATTTGATTTCCATGAAGCTAGCAATTGTAAACTTTGTTAATATCATTCAAATCTTTTACTCAGGAAAAAATGACTAAATTGTGAAATTTAAGCATTTTTTAAAAAATTTTGTCAAACCTATTTTATTCAACTTACTTAAAAATACTTCTCTGAAGACGCATTAAATTTTTTCAATTAACAATTATTGGCGATTCTTATTTTAGTCATTTTAGTATTATTTGAAAAGGTGCAATAAATTTTTTCGTATTAATTCAAAGGTTATCAACCAATTAATATCACCATTGTCACCACTACTGTTAACGATTATAATCAATTTCGGACGATAAAATTACACAAATTTTGGTTAATTTAATTAAATTATGATGTAATATTTAGCGATATATAATGATATAGTGGGATATAATTATTGCAAAATTCAAAAACTAAAATTGATGTTATTTTGATAAATTAGATAAATCTAATCATATTTGCTGTATTTATAATATGCTAAATTCTTTTTTAATATTGAAAAAAAAATTCAATTTAAATGGCGCAGTACGGCGCCAGTTAAATTGAATTTTTTCCATATTTTCTATAAATCATCAATAATGATGCATATTATATATGAAATAATATATGGTAAAATTATTGAGCGTTTTCCAATCTCAACAAATTAATTCAATTTATTCGAATGAAAATTTTGAATTAAATTCAAATTAAACGAATATGACAATTTTAGATATAAATTTATTGCAATAAACATTTTATCCATTCATATAAATTTTTCTTTTCTTTTTTCTCTTTTTTTTCTAAGAAATTCGATCGAATCAGTAAAAATTGTAGGCCTGTTTGAAATTTCAAATTAATATTGTTTTTTAATCTTTTTTCAATATTTAAAAATAAATAAACATAGCAAAATTGAAAACATTTAAAAATTAATCTGAGTAAATTCTAAAAAATTTCGTAAATTTGACAGTCTAAAATTTGAAGCAATTAAATATTATCAAATGTAAGCAATATGAGGGTAAAATCTATTACAAATTTAATAAATCTCTCGTTACTCTTCTAATGTCACTAATCATTTACTGCTAATTAACGTAGTAAATTTCTCATTTCCTTTTTCTTTTTAACTTTTGATTAGCTAAAGTTCACTTCAGCTTTAATTACAACATTTAAAGACGCTATTTTGCATCAGGACATTTTTTTCTTCGTAACTTTAATTGTCAAAAAATTTTTGTAAATAATTGATCTACATTTTAATTGATCAATTATTATTTACATTCATATTTCTCTCTTCCTTAATTTAATTAATGTTTGGAATGGAAAAATATAGGCAAAATTAGGCCAATAAATGTCTTTTTGGATAAGAAAGAAATAAGATGGCCTAAATGAATCTAATTAGTTATTCATTTCAACGATTCCATACGTTAGGCAAATAAAATTACCCTGAGGCGATGAAATAGAGGAAATATGCTAGAGTTTAAATTTGAGTAAAGATGCGACAGATCGAATTTGTCAACTTATAATAGTAAACAATAAATAATAAAGCATGTTAATTCCCAATATAATATTGAATTATAAATGATGAAATTTATCATTTTATAAAAATTTCAACCATTTTAATTTTAAATCTGTTTATTTTATTTAGAGTAGATTATATTGATAAAATTTAAAGTTATTTGTAATAAATTTAATTTTAAACAGTTTGTAACATTTAAGAGTGAGAAGAAAAAAACAAATGAAAATAATCATAGTAATGGAAAAACGTTGATAATGGGAAATAATTAATCGAAATAACCTAGAATTTTGTGGTCCAGTAGTATCTTTATCATGGCTTGAACTTGCTGATAATTGATTATCTTTAATAAGACCTGATTCCA